AAATTGTAAACAATGATGATTTGTGGGTTGGTTTTAAAAGTTTAAATTTTTCATGAATTTTATGGATGTTACACAACACTTTGTCAACAAGATCAAGCTCTCGATACCGAAGACTTCCAACCCACTTTTTTGCCAACACGTCCACAAAATCCACCCTCTTTTCTACACCTAAAAGATGGAAGAAAACGAAAGAATGAAATTTGTGTCAAGGCTCTCACTATTGTCCCGATTCGGCCCTAACACTCCTGCCTCCAAGAGTGGAATCTGTGTCAAGGCTCTCACTATAAAAGGTCACACGCCTCCAACAGTAAAGGTATTGAATCCACACTCTCTAAGCTATACACTAAACCATACACTTATCTCCCTCGGAGACTAACTTGACCGTCAGAGCGTTCTCCCGAGACCTCCTCCGGGAGTACGGCTGACGGCGTGTTTCTTTGTTTTAATACAAATCTCCACCAAAGACTCTCCGTGTGTGATAAACCACATAACCTTTATAAGCATAAGTTGTAGGATAATACAAAATATAGTAAAAGGTATAATCGTACATACTCACTTTACATAATACTGGCATGCCTAATGTATAAACTACTAAAATGCATAAAGTTGACTAATAGCTTGCACATAATTGTTGGCGTCTTGCTTGAGTGTGTATTAGGATAGTTGCGGATAGCAAAGCTTATTGCGGCTAACTACTTATCAATCTGCAACATCTGCTTTGGTCACTTCTTCTGTGTTTTTGCAACATTTTTGTCCAAAGGAATCATAATAGACTTTTTCTTAGTCAAACAAAATACCCCACATAAATCATTGAAAGGGCCAGAATGTATATCCACAACCCGACAACAAACCCCCGTCAATACCAACTCCAAATTGGACTTTCAAATCGGCAATCCATTTCCTGATGCTACTTACTATAAAGTCTACATGACCATATTTCTTATTTTGTTAAAGATATTTATCTTCATACTCCTCATACAACTCAGGTGAACATACTCAAACAAACATTGGCTACATTTAAGGTACACCGAATCTCGCTCCATGCATCTTCATTCCTACACAGATGTGGAATAGGTCAGGTGCCCTACCACCCGACGATCAACCTCCGGCTATTGCATCTTCCTCGGTGATAACCTCATTTTATGGTCCCCCAAACTACAACCTACCTTATCCAGTTCACGTGTAGAAGTTGAATATTATGGAATTGCAAACATAGTCTCTAAAGCATTTTGGCTACAAACCTGTTGTTCAAACTTCATTGTCCTCTCTCCAAGACCACTATAGTATATTGTAATGTTAGTGCAATCTACTTATCAGAAAACTAAGTCCAACACCAACACATAAAGCAAAAGGTGAAGTTCACTTTGTATGTGAAAAAACACTTTGGTGGATATCCACTTTGTATGTGAAAAAGTAGCAAAAGACGAAGTGCAAGTTCTTCATATTCCTTCTGATACCAACTAGCCTACATGTTTACTAGGCACCTACAACAAGTTCTATTTGATGATTTTCGGACAGTTTTAGCATCCGTTAACCTCCTGTTACGACTTGCGCGGGAGGGGTGTATTAGACTAGGTATGTATTATATTGTATTTATGTTGCTAGCAATACCTTCTATACATAAATCCTTGATTGTATATTTATACCAACGAGAGGATGTATCAAGATGTCGTTAGTTCGACGTAGCTATTACATCATTATCTCTTTTGGTTCTTTTAGGCTTAAAGTATTTGGGATTATGTGATAATTTATAAAATTTAATTTACGAATAAATAAAACATTGAAGTCCAACCCACCCGTATTTGGGATTGTGATGATTTATAAAATTTTAATTTATGAATAAATAAAACATTGAAGTCCAACCTACCCATCTCACAAGCTGTGTGACTCATGTTTTGAAGACATCAACAACCACTGAATATCTTAAAGTTTCGATGTATTATAAATATATTAATTGGTAGATACAAACTTTGTCCCAGACTGAGCACTTCGCATAGTGATGATCACACCACCAATAAATTTATAAATAAAAAAATTAAAGAATATAAAAATATTCTAAAATGCACCAAACGGTCTCCAATTCTTTTTTTATATAAATCCACCAAGAAATATATAACATTAAACATGAAAAGTTTGGTGATGATGTCCAAAACACAAGAAAAAAAAAAGTAATTGTATTTGGTTTTTATACTCATTCATTTTACAATTGGTTACGAAAAGGGGTTATAATTTAACTTTTGATTTAAGGTTTTTCAGAAATAGATTGACGCTATGTTGCTTAAGTTCCAATTTGTCATTTTTTGTAATTATTAACTGGTAATTGGAAAATGAGCTGGACATCCCATATAGTTAATTAATTATAAATTCCCAATTTTAACATATTATATCAAAATGATTCCGTAATTCCCGGGCTAATCATCGTGATCACGGGATTAAACATATAAAAAGGGAAGAGTAAGAATAGGAGATATGCTGGTCACGTATATTTGAATTTATTTAATTTATTATGTAATGGCCAATAGCAACAGTTGGGTTGACTATCTAAAATTAAAAAATTAATTGGTAACTTAAGCATGCATGCATGCTGACAGTAACCAAATCCAGTGATCTGCAAGATACAGCTTACGATGCATACTGTACAAAAATGCATTCAGATAAAATAATTATATTTTATCATTTATCTATATGTTCATTTATATCTATACTAAGGATAAATTTACAATTAAAAAAAAAAAACTCATTTGTTTATAAACTTTAATAAAACCTGAATATTAAAATAATAATAAAATGTTTAACTATTTTTTTATACTTATAAAAAGTTGCTAAAAAAACTGGTGAAATAGTTAATAAAATTTAAAATTGATTCGAAGCTTGATGTATGAGTTTGATGTTTATGTTGATTGTTGGCTACTTAACATAGAAGCTGACTTTTTACGGTCAAGCTCGCAAGGACGGTAACTGTACGACATTTTATGCACAAAGTATGGGATTTTAAGGCTAATTGCGAGAACTTCCTATTAATTTAACAATTTCAAAGTTAAAAGACTGACAAGCAAAAAAAATAATAATAATAACACAAAAGCATCTCTTCATAATTCAACAACTGCAGCAGAATAAAAAAGATAAACAAGCATACCAGAAAGAATGAAGAAACCAATCCGGGTGGTTCCGTCATCGTCCATCCTGTGAAGTGAAGGAATCGGCAAAGCCGGAAGGGCGAGTTGGAATACTTGTTTGCGTATTATCATTACTCCCAATAAGTGATGAATTATCATACCCGCTCATACCCTCCAAAGCTTGCCATTTCTTGACGGCTTGTGGCAAAGTCATGTCAAGGTCTATACCGTAAATATCATCAGGGTCAGGGTCGGAAGGTTTCCAAAGCTCGGCTAGGGAGGAGAGCACATTGACCGCATGGCTCATGTCGGGTCTCTGGTGCGGTTCACGCGCACAGCAGTGACCGGCTAGTTCAGCCACGGTGCTGAGACTGGCCAGGGCTTCTTCATCGAGGTCAAGTGTCGGGTCAATTGCTTTTTGGAAGGTGTCTTTGTTTATGTGCATACGCCGGAACCATTGGACCAGGTGGATGCTTTCTTCTTGTTGGGTTTCGTCCAGGGCTCTTCTCCCCGTTATCAGTTCCATTAGGATTACACCGAAGCTGAACACGTCAATCTTCGTTGTTACTCTTCCCGTCACTACGTCCAATTATGTAATCAAAACAGATTAGCTACGTTTCGTATAAACAATATTTGAAAAAGGTAAAGATACATTTACGAGAAACGGATGGTAGGAAAAGATAAACGAGGGTAAATTTGTAAACTACTACTTATTGGGGAAACTCTTCGTCTTACAATAAAACATTAACTTTTCTTAAGACGTTATTTATGCTTAAATTATACATATAGCTTATGCCTTGTCTGTCGGATAAACTAATGCCACTATCAAGTCCATTACATAAAAAAGAAATGTAAATTTTCCTAATGCATTAACAGTGTTGTTTTTTCTTAATGGTACTATTAAATGGATTACTTACATAAGGAGACTTTCTCCTTTTCACTTGATACATATAAAACCGCTTAATAGAGAAAGTCATATGAGGTTTCTCCGTGAAGTCCTAAACATCTATCGTTTCCTTTCATTTTCCCAAATGTATGGTTATTTTCTCAAATATCTTTATTTTTAACATCACACCAGGCGAAGCATACAATATATAAAAGTAGAGTAACAAAATGTTGATCAAAATAAGAAGGAATACCAGCGTATTCAGGAGCAAGATAACCAAAAGTGCCAGCTAATCTTGTGACGAGGGAAGCTTTCCCATCAGGGGCGAGTCGAACGAGTCCAAAATCAGCAACTTTAGCCCGCATATCATCACCAAGAAGAATATTAGACGGTTTAAGATCTCTATGAATAAAACTTTGTTGTGCCAAACCATGTAAATACTCAACACCTCTAGCAACATCTAACGCAATTATCAATCTTTTTGTCCATTCAAGCGGTTTCAAACCTTCTTCTTGCCAATCAAATAAAAACCGACTTAGTGTCCCTTGAGGCATATACTCATAAACAAGAAGCCTCTCATTTCCATCCAAACAATATCCAAGAAGTGCCACCAAATGCCTATGCCTAACCTTTGTTAAAACAGCGATTTCAGATTTAAACTCATCCAGCCCCTTTTCACTCATCACACCCGACTCCATCCTTTTAACCGCAATCTTGGTCCCATCATGTAACTCGCCTTTGTAAACTGTCCCGAACCCTCCTCTTCCCAATATATTATTCGGGCTGAAATTATTTGTCACATTTTTCAAAACTTGAATTGAAATCACCATGTTCCCAGCTTCCACGATGTGGATGTCACTTGGGCCACTACTCGTGTGACTAAAGGATTCGTTTGTGGGGGCACTTGAACCTGCGATTGTGATCTTCACCCCGTCCCCATCAGATGCTGAATGCCGGGGGTGGATCACCATCGTGTTTTGATATGGGATACGGTTAGATTGCTTTCGTTTAGCTTTGTAGACACAGACACCCAGCAATCCCGCGAAAAAAACCGCACAAACACCGCCAACCACCGATCCCACCACCACGCCGGTGTTTGAACTTTTCCCACCACCGCCACCTCCTCCTCCGTTTGGCTTACTCCCACCGCCGCCGCCGCCAGAAGGCGAAACCGGTGTCCGACTTGGACCCGCCTTTCCGATATCAAGATTCCCTTCGGTTTTCACGTTAACGGTTTTGCTAAAATCCGGAACTGGTCCGTAAAGATGATTATTCGAAAAATCAATCGCAATCAAATTGGGTAAATCTTTGAGTTCATCGGGTATAGTTCCGGTAAGATTATTATTTGAAAGAATCAACCTTTGAAGTGACTTAAAGGACGCAAATTTGGGAGAAATGGTTCCTGTTAGACCCATTTTTTGAAAATTAATCACAGTTATATTCCCATCGCTGGAACATGTGATCCCTAACCATGAATTACACGGATCGTTTCCCTTCCAATTATCAGCAAAAGTATGCGGGTAACCCACAGATTCTGCCACACCAAGCAGAACATCGACACGATTATCACAAGGAGCACCAGGATTCGGTAAACAGAAACTATTAAGCCCGCTTAAATCAACAGCCACAGACTTATCAAAACTTGGAGTTGGTCCCTGTAAGAGATTATTAGTCAGGTTCACAACTTTTAAAGATTGTAAACCTAATAAAGATTGTGGAACAGGCCCTGTTAAGCTATTATCTCTTAAACTCAAATTCTGCAACTCGTTCAGACCTGAAAATTCCGGTACAGGACCGGAAAACAAGTTCCCGTGAAGCCAAACTTCAGTCAGTTGCGTCATGTTTTGAAGAACTTGGAGAGTTCCGTTTAGTTTAGACCTACTGTTCTGACCATTCAACCAAAGGCTTTGAATCGATGAACCCGAAAACGAACTCGGTAACCCACCCTCCAGATAATTAAACGATAAATGCAGAGTTGTCAGCCCCGCAAACGCATCACCGCCGAAGAAATCCGGGATTTTTCCTGTGATGTTGGCCGATGTCGCCGAGAAAACTTGCAAAGTGGAGGCAGATTTTAAACTGTCCGGGATAGACCACGAACTAAAACCGTTGTAATCCAGATAAACGTGTTGTAAAGAAGACATACCGTCGAAGAAATCGGTGGGTATTGAAGTTAAACTGTTGTAACTGAGTAAAAGGTTCTGGAGCTGAGTTAACCCGGCGAGACTCGGGAGTGAGCCGGTGAGTTGATTGTTTTGAAATTCCAGAACTTGTAGTTCCGTGAGGTTGTTGAGTGTCTGCGGAAGATAACCCTTGAGGTTCTGGTTACCGGCTTGGATCCTGGTGACCCGGTTGTCTCTTGAGCACTGAATTTGCTGCCATTTACATGGATTAGGATCGGACCAATCGAGTGATTTGGGTGGACTGAGATTCGATTTCAGAGCCTGCATTACAACAGCATCGTTCGCGCTCGACTGTGACTGAACAAAAATGATCGAAACAGACAAGAAATAGACGATAAACAGGAGAAATCCACCCAAATTTTCATAACCCAGAAAGGGTTTCATCATGTCAAACGCCAATCGATAATCAGAACCAGGTTCGTTTCCTCTGAGGAGTGGACTGTGGTTAGGGTTTTGTCGAGGGGTCGATGAAAATTGCAATTCCCTTTGCAGGAAATGTGTGATTGGGGAAAAATAAGCTTTTACGAGTCAGATTGAACGGCGGTGATGAAGGTAAAGATTGAAAAAAGGAAAGAGAGAGAAAAAAGATGGAATTTTTGCAAGAAAGAGAGAGAGAATCCGGGAGGGTGAGTGATGAATGCTTTCATTACAAAAATAATGTGGAGACCAGGGATGATACAGTTGTCGCATATATGCGTGTATGTATGGTCCTTCACCTCTTTACTACACAAGTGACAAAAATGGTCCTAAGGTTACACCTAAATCATATTCGGTCCTTGTAGATCCTTTGCTCACGTTCAACTACTTATATGTTTTCATAAAAGTATTTCCCTATATTAATTAGAACCTAAAACGAAAATAAACTCGTTCCTATTTCATAGGGGATAATGACTCCGGAGGTAAAGAAAATAAATCATAAATGACAAGAGAGACTATGACCGTAATAACTTTTTTTTTTCTAAGTTAGAAAATAAAAAACAATCAAAATAAACACAATTATCGCACTCTAGCAAAAATTATGTTTTTTTTTCAAACTCTAAATTTTCGTCACTTTTTTATATGGAGTTTGTTTGGGTGAACTTTTCTCATTGGGTTCTCTGTAATAAGTCTATCCATGGACATATCATACTCATAATTTGGAGATCAGTTGTAAAATAAAGAATCAATAAAAAAAATATGGAAAATAAGCCAAGTTCAAGCCTTCAACTCTTTCATACAAAATATGGTTAATGTGAATTTTTTCATTATGTTCCCATGGACATATCAAAATCGTTATTTGGATATTGGAACTTCATATTTTGTAAGCTCCAAGTTAAGATGGTTTGTGATGTTTTGAATTTTTTGTGGAGGCCATATTAATTAAATAATAAATTAGTGGATAACATATAACATTACAAGTATACTTAAGAAAGACATGTAAGTATCCAAGTTACAGAAGGGCTAACACCACCAATACATTGATTGGTAATTCTCATTGAGCAAGAAGCATTAGAGGGTACACCATTTCAGTTCGATATTGGGTGAATGTGGTACAATACTGTGACAACCCGTAAATTCTATCTTGTAAAGTCAATCCAATCAACCAAAAGTCAGACTTAATTCTATTGCATTTTAGCCTTGTTAAGGGTCATTCTAATGAGTTCTAAGTCTAGTACACTTAAGGATTGAGTGTTTTGAAGTATTAGCTCGAGATCAGAAGGTTGCACCCGAACCAGAAAATCCAACACTTGAGGTTCACGGGCGTAAACCATGTTCATGGCCGTGAACACTCTTCTAGCCGTGAACCCCTCACTACTTAGATAGATTTTGTCACAACTAGCAAATTTGGCTAGGAAAGTTCTATCTTTATGTAAGCATTATCAATGGCAACAATTGTAACCATGACTTGAAACATGATGTTTATTCAATAACAACAAAATTCCATCAAACACTCTATACAACACTTCAAATAGTCAACAAAATATTGGAAACCCTAAAAATCCCGGTTTAAGTCCAATAAGGACTAGGATTTTCTTATTGGGCCTAATGGACCAATAAGTCTCCAATTTGACTAGTTTGGGCTTAGAACTCGTAATTGGGCTCTAATTCAACCCACTTTCATGAAACTTAACTTTTGGGGCCATAATGGGCCTAAAATGGATTGGTTTACCTTAATGGGCCTTGTTGGGCCATAACAAATCCAATA